GCCAGGGCCAGATCTGGTGTGGGTGTGTGTGTGCGTGCGTGCGTGCGTGCGTGCGTGTGTGTGCGTGTGTGTGTTCGCAACTACACTCTTGGTTCTTCAACAGTTGTAAAATTAATGAGCCACTATTTACCACTTAGCCGATTTGTTATGACAAGCCAATGGCCTTTAGGTAGAGATATGGAAAGATGTGACAATCAAACAAGTCCTAAATCCAGAAATGCAAAAGTCATAAAACCATAACAACATGCTAAACAGGCTTTGCTAACAACAGCAGTAACAGATTTATAAAGAGGAATTTGCTTTATGTTGCTATAATAAAATTAAAATGAAAGCAAAAGTTGTGGTTAGTAAAAAATAAATATTTGATGCTATATGCAACATTACATTTCTCTTAGACTTTGTTGAAAGGTGTTTACACCAGTGATTTTTTTTTTCAATTAATAACTGAAAAGCAAAATATCCTTAATGGGAGTTTTTTCTTTTTACAGAATTTCTATCAGGTGAATGAGGAGGTTTTGGTAGAACATATCTGCTACAAGAGGTTTGTGTTTTGATCTGCCTTTTGACTTTTATCAAAGTGTACTGTAGGTATCTATTTGGATGTTACACCCCTTTAAAGTCTGACCTGCCTAAATTTTGACAAGCACAGGTACTAATATAATCTAATGTCAGTAATGATGAAGACATTCTTAACTGATGAAGGAAGGGATCATTATTGTGAGTGGGAAGTAGCAGGGATAATAATCCCCTACAGTATTTGCCTCTGATGTAGACCCACACAGGGTACAGTTGGTTTCATTCCAGGTTTTTTCTTCCTTTCTTCCCTTTTTTATACATAAAAGAGCATTGTGCTGTTAGTCCCTTTAATATAGTGTATTACCCTGAGCACAGTCCATAAAAAGCTCGTCCCAGCATGTTTTCAGTCACTGCTGAAAATGTATTTCCCTCCAGGGTTTCTTTCAAACCTCTTTCTGAAAATCTGAAACATGAAAGTGAAGTTTTCTATCTCCACAGTCCAGGTAATTTTGGTCTTTACTATTTTTCCAGCTGCACAAAAAATTATTCACCTCTTACAGCTCTCCTGGGGTTTCCATAACAAGTTTATTGCACCTTAGATTCACAAGTACAGAGAGCTACTGTTCAGTTCAGTCGATTTTATAATCCCCACTATTTGTACCGAAGGCTATTTGTTGGCCCAAACTTTCTGATTCTTCTTCCTGCGGCTGCTGTGTTTCCTGGAAAGCTAACTCATCTCTCTGTTGTTTTCATGGTATCACAGAAAACATTAAAACTTCACATAAAAAAGACTTTTAGAAGCATTTTTGTGGTGGCCTAAACCGTTCATAAATGTGGATTTTTATAAATGAAAGGATTTCTTTTTAAAGGTTTGGAAGAAAGCACAGACTAAGAGGTACTGTGTGGAGGAATGGATTTAAGAAAACAGCTTTTTGTCTAATTCACAGGTTACTTCTGAACAAAGATTTGCACCCTAAAATCCAGTGCAATATATTTTTTCTAGCTGATAGTTCCCCCAGTTAAATGAGTGCATGCATTAAATTGGAAAGACAAACATATTAAGTTATTAACTGCAGCCAGTCAGGTTTTTTTTTTTTTTAAACCGTTGCTGTTTTTAAGATGCTGCGTAAAACATTTACTGAAAACCTGTTGTAATTTTCCGGCAGACGACCAAACGGAATGACTTGTTATACAACTGAGTTCACAAAAACAAGGGCACAAAGTCATCAAAAGTATTAGTCAAATGGCTCACACCTGCAGAATGTGATGAGGTTCCATCAACAATTAATGTGTTGCGTTTGTTTTCAGAATGAGTTGTTAAGACGCGGTAAACCGAAAGACGGACAAACGGAGCTAAAATTACACGTTAGTGGTATTTGTCAGTCAAAAATGAGACTCAGATTATGTATCTTAGCAACACGATGTAAAAAGTGTCATCATTCAGGTCACATCAGCTCTCAGCCTGCTCTGTGAACATAGAAACAGCGTCGTGTGGTGCAGCGAGCAAAGCAGGTGCCCATTTAAAGAGGTTAGTCCTCAGCGAAGATGTCCTGGGTTTGAATTTTGACCTGTGCCATTTACCGCTAGTCTTTTTCTTCCCCTGCCTTCCTTCCTGTCTGAAGAGGCGACAAAAGCAAGGTCACTAGTGCCACAGAAAAACTTAACAAAAATATGGCACTGTTGTACTGAGAGTTGTTTGAATAAGTACACGCAGCAGTAATAAAGCTTTTAACTATGTGTCAGAAAATGACTTGTCCTTAAAAGGTTTAGCTAAAAATTCAGCTCTTGCTTTTTTCAAACATGCACAATGGGAGTATGTTTGCATTTCTTTAAAAACTCCCTACATAGGGCTTTCCTTGATGAGATAAAAACAGAGACGGACCTTTTGCAGAGAAAGATTTTTCCCTCTTAACCCCAAACCACTTAAGAGTGACACTGAAAATCTGGCTCTCCAGCAATTTCAGTGACAAATGCACTGAAAGTTCAGCTTAAATGACAGCTGAATTAAATTGGATCATTATTCAAAAACTGTATGAAATCGGTACTATTATGCTATTAAAAAAAAAATTAATAGTGTGTTCTGGTTGGGTGCATCGATTTCTGTAATCCAGTATCCAAATACTCAAAGACTGGATTTTTTTTTCCCAATGAATCTTAGGAGGAGAAGAAGTGAGCAAATCGATTTTTTTGCATATATGTAGAACATGATCCTCTGCCCCCTGCTGCAATTACCTACATCATGGTTGACTCATTTCCCTCCTGTACCAAAATGAGGTAAATGACCAACTTTCTCTCGCTTTCTCCTTCTCCACCTTCAAATTTACCCCCACAGAGAAGTCTGCTCGTCTCTGCCTCCCCTGATGAGCCCGCTCCTCTTGCTTTGTTAAAAATCCCTGACAACTGCACATCTTGGTGTTGTTCCAGCGTGTTTGGGTGATTTCCTCCTCATCATTTCTGCAGCTGTTTCCTCTGCAAACCCACTTCCAGTCTCGAGTCATGGCTAATTAATTGACAAGTTGCCCCCTCAGAGGGATCAGATGGAGACATATTCGCTGACACCTAGAATGGGTTTAGCGAGCCAGTGCCCTGGAGATGTCAAACAGAAACCACCTGCAGTTTGCACAGCTAAAGATCTGTGAGGGAAGTGCATGACAATGGAGAAAAAAACAATCTGATCTGAATCAATTACGTTCCTAGGAATTCTGAAAATAAATCTCAATGCTCTCGTTCTCCGCGTGCCATCATTTGCAAACTCCCATGAATAAATAAACTACATGGCAGACCTTGATTGATTTTGTCCTGAATAAGCCGGATCTGAGGAGTTGCATCAAAGCAACCCGTTTTCTCATCCTTTCCTCCTTTTGTTCATCACTTCCTCAATTTCTGAAACTGATCAACGCGCCATCCATTCTGTGCAATGTCAACTATGCCTCTGTTCTTTGTGCTTCTTTCAAAGACAGTATTATCAAAAGTAACTTTTTCAGCTATCAAACCCTCCATCACTCCTTCTCATCTCCAACACCTTGCCCCCTTTTCACAGCTCGCAGTTCTTGCCTTTAATCCTATCAGTCTCTTCCATCTGTGGCAAAATTATACGTATGAACCCCCTCTCAGTCTCTCTCTCCAACTGTCAGTGGAGGCGCTTCAAACAGCCTCCCTTTGGCATAAAATAAAAAAGTGTCAGTTTCAGATAAAAACCCAGCTTGTGTTGTTCTGCTCGTACTATTACGTGCAGGATAAAAGGTCCATACGTGGCTGAATTTTTGATTCTGGAGCCACAATGAAATATAGAATTACCAATGCAGCGAAATCAGCCACCTGCATTGAAATGAATGCAAGGGCAGCCTGCACAAACATAGCAGCTTATAACTGGTTCAGTGACAGAAGGAGATGCTCGGCGTTGTAGGTTGAGGTGGCATCACAGAGCTGAGCTCCCTTTTCTCTATTCTTAGCTGCTCCTCCTGCTCTCACAGTCACACATCACAAGGTACTGAAGAGGAGAGGAAGATGAGGCATCTTTGGATTCTGGATTCAGTAAGTAAGGATGGTATGTTTATTCCCTTTGCAGTTCATCAGGAGTCCTGTTTTTCCTGTTACATCAATGCTATCCAGAAATATGTGTCTATCCATATATTTCGAATGAGTGCAAAGGTAAAAGTTTATTATACACAAACCAAACAAATAAGAGATTGGAGCAAGACACAGAGTCAGACTGACCTCGATCTAACAAACAAACAAAAAGTTGAAATTCTGTATTTTCCAGACTATAGAGCGCACCTTATTATAGGCCTTACCTACAAATAAAAAGAAAAAAAAACTGGAAACGTACATATATAAGCCGCTGGTCTCTCCGCCGCTCTCGGTTTTCCACAAGGATCTGCTGGGCTTATTAGGACGCAGCCCTCCGTCTCCAACGCCGAACCACAGATTCGTTCACGCTGAGCTTATGTGTAGCGGCTCTATTTCCATCCTGTACTGTCAAATCGATAGCCCTCAACTTAAAAGCTGCATCTTTTTCTTTGTGTTGTTTCCATGATGAGGGGGTATGAGCTTGGAAACATTTCTCCGTCGTGCCTGCTGCTAGCATGTGCAGAATCTAAATGAAAATGAGCACTTTCTTCTCTGATTTCCAATTTTGACTTCCAATGATTCACTTTCTGCTAACGAGCCCCCTGGTGGTTGAAGAAAAATCCACAGAAAAGCCGCACTGAGCTACAAGCCGCATGGTTCAAAACATGGGAAAAACGTAGCGGCTTATAGTCCGAAAAATACGGTATTACCACAAAAAAAAAAAACAACAACCACAAAACAGCTTAAATTTTACATAAATAGCACAATGCACAAATAGTGAAATTATACACTCATATATTTTATTAAATATATCAACAATTTATACACTTTTTCAAAGTAAAAATCTTCAGTGGCATTACACCGCTCAAGATAAGATGATTTTTCTTTGATGAGCTCCAATTTTTTTGAGGTTGGAAGGCCTTCTCGCCATCACCCTAATCTTTAGATTCTGGTAGAGACACCCCCAAAAGGTCAATGTTCTTTGAATTTGAAGTTAAATTTGTCAAGGTAATTAATTGTTTTGAGTTTAACTTCAAAAGCAATCTGGCACAAATGACTGCATAGAGATGTAGCCCAAAGGATGATGACACATTGGTGTAAAACAGAGAATATGAGACAAGCAGGATAAAAGAACTTCAGAAAGTGACGTAAAATGATGCTGCACAACTGCAAGTAGCACAAACAAACTAAGCTTAAACATGTCTACATAATTTGCTGTTGGTTGTGTAGTGTTTTTTTTTCTCTTTGTCTCTGCGTCCTTATCTTCAAAAGGACAAATAGGAGACCCAGAGGACTACAGTTTCATAATACAACTGTCTGAGGAAACAATCATTTAATAAAATTAACACTCCCTCACCATCAGCTCCTCATTCCAGTGAGGATTCTTCAAAGAAGAAAACCAGGTGTGCTCAGCATCTTTTTTGCTTTAGGGTAATGATGGGAAAGAAAAGCTACCCATTACAGAAGGACACAAACATATTCAGGCTTCCTCTTCCCCCCCCCGACTACATCTGTTCAGACTGATGCTTAGTTGCTGTCAGCTTAACAATTACCAGCCAAATCTTTTCATTCTAGAGTCTCATGTTCAAACAATATGTAGTACAACTCAACACTAAGGTTGTAGTTACCTACAACAATGTATAACATGCTGAGTTATCCCACATAGTGTCAGTCTAGATCAGATCACAGCTCTTCAAACTGTATTCACAGCCAGGACCCAAAGTAACAGTCTTCTCTCCGTAACAGTCTGTCACACTGTTGGAGGGGAATCTTGGCCTCCTCTCCTTTTCAAAGTTGCTTCAGGTCACTGAGGCTTTCAGCAGGACCTCGATTCTCTTTCTTCTCAGACTCTCTTTTCTAAATTGTGCTGCTGTGCTTGGTCTTATTGCTCAGGCAGACTCTTGACTCCAAAACACGTTTTGCTCCGAGGTGAGAATATGTTCAACTCAGCAACTGCACAATCCAAAGTCCCCGCAGCTCTGAAACAAGCCCAGATCGTCACACCTCCACCCATGGGCTTAAGTAGTGGCATGTTTGCGCAGATGGTGTGGGTCATCTCTAATCCTCTTTCTTTTCTTTTTGTTTACTTGTTAGCAGGGTTTTTGTTTTTTTTTGTTTTAAATCGTTATGTGATCTCAACATATGAGGTTTTAAAGAAGTGCTAACTCGATCTGCTAAGTGGAGCAGGTCTGATTAGTAATGGCCGGTTCTCACCTAGCCGGTACATTTCCAAGACAGTCTGAGGGGTGAGTCTTAGTCTCCCTCCCTAATTTTGGCCTAATTTTTGTTCAAATATTAATGACAGTGTAATTTGTCATGTTTTGTTCATTTTAAGATTCTTTTTAAACTATTTTTGGCACTTGATAGGGATCTGGTGTTTTATTATTTATTTACGCAATGAAATGTAAAACCCTAGACAGGAAAGAGTGTATTTTTATAGTTTTCCATGGACACAGAACATATTATCTGTAGATAAACATGATCCCATTTGACAGGCTCTGAAAAGAACATAAGATGACTCATTTCGCCATATCGCTTATTACTTCCACATCTCTATAGAGCACGGTTTATGGTTTTTGCACCACTGAGCACTGAATATACATGTTCCTCTTTGTTATGAAGAGTTTATACCCTGCTACTCTATTGAAACATGTATCTCTTTGAAATATTTTATGTATTCTTCTCACTGACATACTCAGTCGCATCAGGAAAAGGTTGTTTTTTTTCCCCCCCGTCATCCTGATGTTTCGTACTAATGCATAAGCATGAGAGCCCTCAAATGTGTGCTTATTGGCCGCATTGTTTCACATTACTCAATAATTCTGCAGATATAAACACAGATCTCAAACAGCAAAATGTAGACCCTTCCAGTCAAATGCTAAAGCCCTTATAGGATGTTGCAGTCTAGACCAATTATATAACTATGTGAAGACTTGATAATTGATGTTTGCAGATGCGCTCCATCCGATCTCACAGAGTTGTCAGTCTCTGTGCAGAGACATACATCAGCACACCTGCAGCTGTAATTGCAGTGAAAGGTGGTTCTACTAAGTATTCACTCAACGGGGTTGAACACAAATGCATTCCACACCTTTTCAGATTTTGATTCATAAAATATTTCCAATCGTCTCACTTCCACTTGACAGTGCTGCGCTACTGTGCCTTTCACATAAAACCTTAATGAAATACATTGAGATTTATGGTGGCAACATGACAAAGCGCAATAGCAATATAAAACACGAAGCGGACATAGTGCTGTTGTACGCACAGTGTGGTTCCTACTGCTGATATGAAATGTGAAAAGTCTAGTGGCGGAGGGAGAAAGACGTTTCCATTTAGCGATGTGCCATTTCAGTGAAAACTCAGATATGCATGGATGGCAGAGAGACATTTTTGAGGCATTGTGCAACTCCGCACTCTGCAGTCTCCCTCTCCGACTGGCTCTGAGTAAACAATAAACACCAGGCTGCTCAGCACCTGTAATCCTCCAACGACTCAATCAACATTTGTAAAGCTGCTCACACGAGGCTCACATCCAAGACTGACTCGACCGGCTGTCGGTTGAGTTCCAGCCTCACCGCCGTCGTCTCCACATCCTTTTTCTTTTGCGGCAACGCACCGATGCCGCCCTGCTCTTGGTTCACCGATCAGAGCAGGGGGGCCGTGCTCCCTCTGGTTTCAGGAGAGTCAGAGCTACGGACCCATCCCCAACATTAAAAACATGCAGCATCACTACGCAACAACAACCCACCCCTCCCAGGCCTTGTTGCTTATTCACTCAGAGATACATGTGTCTACAAAGCTGACTCCTTCATCCACTGTCAGCGAAGCTCCCTCGGGATTTGCCGCCTGCGCCTCGGTCTTTGCCTGTCTGTCTTTTTCACCTTAACCCCTTACTTGCTCTCATCGTTTTCTCTTTAAAACAATTTTTTTTTTAAATAACCTGCCAAACCAGCCCTTAATTTCCAACTTTGCCCGATTAGAAAATCACGGTTTGCATTTGGGAATTGTCACTTTTTGTGCCTCATATGTTAATAAGTGAGCATAATACAATAAGCCTGTTCTCCGTTGAGGCTGTTGCCTTGTGCGGGAGGGACACGCCGGCTGTCACACCTCCTCTAAGTCACGCTCCAACAAAGACACCCGAATTAGACGGTTACGTCAGATCTTGTGATTTGATGAACGCTCGGTTTAGACTTGTGCGAAGAAACTTGTCTTTACCCCCGAAGGCGGGAAAAAAAAAAAGACAAAACTATCCAGCCAACAGTCTAATCTGCGGTGCCACCAAGAGACAAATCCTGGAGCTGCTCCATTGGCAGTAGCCGGACACTGTGACAGAATGAAGGATTTTGCTCATTTTCTGTTTCAAAACTGTTTGCGCACACAAGAGAAAAGATCAAACACATATTCAGCTATCCGAAAGCAATGTGTGCTCATAGATGTTAGCAAAGGTCCTGCATATCAGAGGATTTTACTGGCTAACTTTCTGCAAGCACTTTCACCACAAAATGAAAACCTACAGCGCCTTGCAGAAGAATTAATACTTGTTGACTTTGACTGGACCACTTTAAAACATGAATACACTTTGATCTAAACCAGTCAAATCAAAGCTCTGGGTCTATTTTTATGGTCATAGTCTTGCTGTAAACCTCCACCTCAGTCTTCTAACAGGTTTTTCTGTAGGATTTTCTGTAGAATTGTCCTGGATTTTTCTCTATCCAGCTTGAGATCAACCCTTTCCAGCCTCTGCAATCTTTTGTTTGTAGATTTACAAACAAAAGCTTCCCCACATTATAATGCTGCGATCAACGGGTTTCACGACAGGAATGGTATGATCCACCATGGCTTTTGGAAAACTTTAAACAGGGCCTCTGGTTTTCTCTCAACAAAGGGTATGTTGTCATTCATTCATAAGGAGCCAGGTTCATCTGAGCTGTGGCTCTTCAAGAGTTACCACGAGGCCCCGTGTCCGCTTCCCTGGTCAAAGCCTGTTGCTGTAGCTCAGGGGTCTGCAGTTCTGGAGAAGCAAGTGGCTTTTTGGACATTTCATAATGGCTCAATAATTTGACTAAAGAATTGCAGAACCAACTTTTTTTTTTTTAAATGCTTTAAAAAAACTCAAAACATAAATAAACTGGTTGTTCTTTAAAAATTACCACTAACTTCTTATAGTACATAGATATTTATTAAAAATGTTAAGTTGTCTTTTCAGAAAAGGTAATGTAATATTTGCAGCTCTAAACAGGTTATGTATTTAGCTGCACTGAGGGTAATATCGGCTCTTTGGTTTGTAAAGGTTGCGGACCCCTGCTTTAGCTAGACCCCTTCACGGAACAGCTTATGTATATGTATACTGAATTTTTATTCAAGCGGAGGCATTATGTATTTTCCAGGTATGTAGTGCCATTTCACAGCACAATTAGGCAACAATTTTACCTTCAGTTGTTATAAAAATGCTGCATATCTCAAACATGACTTAAAAGAAATTTGACATTTTCAATTTGACGCCTTGAAATTGGCCTCTGTTTCTTTAAGAAGCTCCTGCTCTTTCTAACTCTCTGCCTTCAGCATGTCGCCACAACAACGCCTTTCCATTAAGCCATTCACAACCGATAGGAGCAACGGACTGAGAACTAGTTGGTATGACAAGCTCAGGAAACTCAGGACCAGGCATTTGCTAATTGCTGCTGCTGCTAGTCTGAAGGAGCTGAGTGTGGCAGTTGCTCTGCTGTGCACTACAGCTCCAAGGCAGAGCTGCGTGGAAACAGGTGGTGCTTTGTGAGTCCGAGCGTGTAGGCACCCTTGATTGGCTACCACCAGAGATCCAAGGATGACAAAAGCATGCATGGATGAGTCAAAACAAAACTCTAGGCATGTTTTTGATGAATGAATGACAACATGATACAAAGTTTTTTTTAAAAAGTTGATTTTGCATAACACCCTTTCCCCCCTTTAAAAAGAGTAGTAAAGTAAAGGGGAATGAAAATGTACACCACGCTTTTCAGATTTTATTTGTGAAAACGTACCATATCAGTTTCCGTCACCGATAGCCAAGCACTATTTGTTCTGGTTCATCATATAAAACGAAATGTATGAAGATTTTTTTTTTTTTTTTCATCTGTCAGCAGCAGCCAAAACGCTCTCCAAGAAATAAGCTGCAGCTTCCCTGTAATACTGCATTACACTGATACTGTTGTCTAGACCAGTTCTCCCTTGTGGCCCCCCAGAACTCTAGTTTCTGATGGGCTTATTGAAGCCAGTGCCTTGTTATCCCCTATCGCAACGTAACTCTGGCTAACAATGTACCAGGAGAAAGCTTGTGGGAAAAAAACAAACAAAAACCGTCTGTTTTTATTTTATGCTTCCACACTAAATGTGTTTTTCTGTCATCCTCTCACATTTCTCTCTTCTGTTGTTTTCTACACATGTGCCTTTTGTTCCCTTTTAAACACTGCATGCAGGCATATATATAAAGCTTCTTTGTCAAGTGTGACAGCTGATTTTTAAACACAAACCCCACCTGCAACTTGAGTCAATCACGTCAGTGAAAGCCTGCACAGAATTCAGCCATGTTTTCATCCAAGCCTGTTTTTTTTTCATGATGCATTGTTGTGAACTGATTGCTTTCACAAAACAGCACAGCTCATTGCACAGAGGCCTGTTTCTTTGAGTACAACTACAAGGCCAACCAACAAATCATACGGCAGACCCTTGAGGCTATTGTATCCTGCATGCACCTTGTGTTCCCACAATGGGAAATAGTACTGTTAGAGTCCTTATTATTATTCTCTTATTTCTATTTGAGTAAAATAATCTAAAATTAGCATGAAAAAGAATATTTGACAACAAAGGGAACAAACAATTCCAGATGTGCATATCAATAGCCACATCAGACTATTGTGTTCAGTAGATTCCCCGCATATTTATGGTTCATTGTTTCCTGATTTTTCTGCAGGACATAGCTCCAAATTATTCACTTAAAAAGCCACTTATTTGCAGAATTTGTTTTATAGAGCACATGTAAAATATTTGAAAGAAGATACAACTTGGGAAGCTGAAATAACTAACCTGCTTGACTTGCTTATTGGCTGGCATTTAGAAAGCAGCCAATCCAGGAGTGCCGTTCATTTTCCTTGCTATTGATTGGCTGTATCTTCAAGAATGGAGATAAGGAAGACTGTAGTTCTGCAGTAGTATAAAGATGATTTTTACTCAGTGTAAGGTATATTTGGTGTTTGAATTATCAAAATAGGCAGTTATTCAGATATTAGTAATGTTTCAGAAAACATACCAAGCTTTCCGCTGTTGTCCGCTTATTAACTGTGTCTAAATAATACATGTTTTAAGAATAAGCTGGTGCAAGGAATCTGACAAGAAGGAAAGCTTGATAAAAAGGGAAGTTTAAGTAACCGCTTGGACACACATCCAACCTATACACAAAAGTCTGTGGCCTACCTTGAACATTGCCAGCCTGGATCTCCTCTCTGCTCTTCAGAACGGGCATGATGGAGTGGCCTGCGATGCGAATCCTCCTCTCATAGCCTCAGATGAAGGGATTTAGATGTAGACAGATGAATTTGCGCGCAGAGGACAGACGTCTGGTGGACACCGGAGTGAACTTGGGTTGGCTGAAGGTGGAAGGGCGAGGGGCTTCTGAACTATTAGAGGAAAGGAGGATGGTGTGCGTCAGGAATGACTTCTATGTTTTTTTTTTTTCTTTTCAGGATTTCAGAAGTCTTATGAACTGACTATTAACCTAAAATGTCTGTACAGGTGAGCAGATCTGAAGTGACTAGATCATAAGGCGTACGGATGGATGAATTGAAGTCTTTTCATTGGTCTTTCTCCCTCCAACTGCCTTCCCCTTCCCACCAAAGATGGTGATCGAGCTGAAGCCTCCCTCCAGAAGTCTGCTGGAGTGTGAGCGCTGTTGCTGTGGAGATGAGGAGCGCTGTGTCTATATGTACTCCTCTTCGTCGCTCTCCCCTTCTTTCTTCTTTGGCGTTCTGTCACTTCTGTGGTTTTGCTTAATTTAGCCAGTCATGATCAGCAGCTTGCCGGTCCGATCTCCTTCTCGATTGTTCTCGATCTGAGCAGAAATAAGAAACGAAGAACAGAGTCAGACGGCAGCAGAACATTGTTTGTGAAGGTTGAACGTCATTGCTTAAACAAGTCAGCAGCCTCTGAGGTCAAGGTTTAATTCAGTCAAGCCGCTGTGGCGGCTTGCGTCTTTCACCGCAATCTCGGCGTGTTGGGTATTGTTGTACCAGCTACTTATTCTCACAGCAAATGCGCCCACAGTTGTTCTTCTCTGCTAAGATTTGATATGCTGCTTTTTAAGGCAAAAGTCCAGAGCAGAAATTATATGAAAAATTTATGGGGAGAGTTGTGAGAACATTAGTCACAAGAAACTCTAGTTGTACCTACATCGAGGCATCTGATTGATTCCTGGTGGTAGAACAACGAGGGCAACAATTCATCAGCCTCAGCTCAATCGGTCTTCCTAACAACGTTGTAGTCGGGTTATTTCTTGACTTTATGAGCCGATTTCTAATGACGGTGTTGAAAAGGGGCTCTACAATCTATCATTTGCTTTGTTGCTCACTTTTTATTGCAACAGCGAGAAACACAAAATGGGAAAACGTGCACATATATTCATACATTTAACAAAATCACATGTTAAGAAATAAATGTTTGGCATTAAGAAAATGCCTGGAGACACTTTTGTTGTCACCTCAGCTGTCAACACAACAACCCCTTTTCACCAATAGCAGCAGCATTTAGGAATTTTTCTATAATGATTCACAAGTTTAGAAGAAACAGCTGCATTCCTCTTTGCACAATCTCTCTAGATTCCCTAGAGTCCTCTCTTATCCTCAGATCACCCCACAACTTTTTTATAGCATCAAGATCTAAGGACTGAGACGACCAGAGAAGTTGACCATTTCTGTGTTGATTTGTCCAAGTTTTTAGTTTGTTCAAGTTTGTCTTGAGTCCTAATTTAAAGTAAACTGAGACAAAGAAGGCTTGTTCACACACGTTTTTTACCAGAGTTGTATAAGTGTGGACAATGTTGTAAATCAAGACAGTGTTTGACATATGCTGTGGCTAACAGAGATGTTCCCACATCCATATCTCTTATCTCTAGCTCTAGATTTCTAACCAAAGTTCACCATTTGCCTCACTGCGAGTGCGTACACCAAAAAAAGAGCAAGCCAAGACGCCACAATGGCCACCTGTAAGTAAACTGACTGCTAAAACTTAAATAAAAATCAAGTGTATCTGTTTTCTTACAGTGGGCTTGTAATTTGTGCTGTACCCTACTGCTTATTATTAACCGGATGCTGCCGTTCTATTCCCGTTTGTTCCTCATCTTTAAACAGTTCCTCTGAAGGCAATAGAGACATCATTCTGTCTGTACAGCAGCAGAGCCAATTACCGGATAAACAAATGCGTGTATCCACATAAATTTAGCCAATCAGCACCCATAAGGGTCACTGTTTTGACACGCCATCTTATATTAGTTCACCGTGCTGCAGATGCACTTGTCATTACTGACAGAGACAAACGTGGGAACCGAAGACCCAGGGCTACATAATTTAATCAAACCTAGGAAAGAGCACAAGTGAAGCAGCATTTCCCACAGTCATGCAGAATCCCTGCTAAAACAAAGCTTCTAAGCGGAAAAGCAACAAAGACTACAGCTGGAAGCAGTCATGCAGATACAGTGTGCAGCTTTCCATGCTTACTTTTAAAAACATCAGGGACAGATAAAACATGGACTGTTCAAGGCGAGAGACATTCATGTGAGAAAACGTCAGGAACCAGACAACGAGGACTCTAACGGACTGATTCTGTATGATTGCTTGTCTTTCTGTAAAAGAATATTTGTGCAACTTCTTACTTTACTTGTAAACTGAGATATACAGTTAATTACTCATCCTCACATATTAGCAAAAGACATTGAAAAATTTAGCTGGGCCATGCATTGCAACGGGTTGTGTGAAATGTTACCTGGTTGTAGTCAAATAATGAATGAATGAATGAATGAATGAATGAATGAATGAATGAATGAATGAATGAATGAATGAATGAACGATCGAACAAAGTTCATCTCCGTCATGTTTAAATTTTCTCGGCTATTAAAGATCCAAGGAAAAGCAGAGAAAAAACTTCAGACAGCCTAAAAAACTGCTGGTAAAACTTAGTTTTTCCCTCTATTAATAGGGAAAGACTATTAATAGAGGGAAATACTGTTACTTAAAATATACACAAAAAAGACAGTTTAGTTATTTGATATTTTAATCAAACGTAATTAATCGTCCAATTTAAACCCTTAATGTAAGTGAAACTGTGCTTTTTTTTATTAATTTGTGCAAGCATCTGTGGATTCGTTGTAAATAACTCGAAAGGTTTCCACTAAAAGCGTCAAATAAAAGGTGAAATATGTCATTTAAATATAAAATAAGTATTAAACAAATAATCTTTTGTTTTAGAAATTTAAATATTTGTACATGAGAACCGGAAACTTCTACATTTTTCCAGACCAATTTTTTTTATTTTGTAACAAATCCAGACCTGGAAAACAACACAAAGAAAATTCCACCGTACTTTTCCTGACCTTTCAAGACAACGCACAGATTCTGTAAGGCGATCAAACAAGATGTCGTTTTTACGCATACATCTTCAGAGGGTTGTTTCTGCATACCAGAATGTGTGTCTCTGTAACTTGAGGGGGTTGAATAATATGTAGGTATGCACCGGTAAACCCTGGGAACATTGTCAGCGGATATCTGATGTGCAGAATTTTAATCCCGTCTGGCAGTGAAATGAATTATTCATCTAACCAGTTTTGTTTATAAATATCCGTCTTTCACTCAGACTCCTTTATAGTCTAATTATCTCTAACTCT